GTGAATGAGGGAGATGCTTTAGATGGAGACTAACTGTTCCAGAAGTGGAAAACCAGTGCTCCGAGGAGTACAGAAGCTTTCCTGGGCGGAAGCTCCCCACTTGGTTTTTATGCTGGAAATTTGTGACTTACTTAGGAAAGCATCCCAGGCACCACCCGATCTAAATATCATCTCACACCTCACACTGAAAACCCAAAGCCAGAAGGGGAAGGGACTCAAGCAGCTCGCCTGCTCAAATCTAGCCTCCCAGTTAGAGCTCCTTTTCTTTTCTGCAAGAGGGTGTGCTGGGCTTCTGGTGAGAGGCTGGCTGCAGGGGCCAAAGACATCACGTGTGTGTTCAGCTCAGAACAACCACTGAGGCTTCTGGGCACGACTGACAGCATGTGGCAGAAAGGTAATTCCAGATATTGACTTCCTGGTGGGTAGTGCCAGTGTTGATCAATAAAAAAACGGTGTGTGCTCAGGGGCAGAAAAGCAGCATGGGACCAGAAACAGGGACTGAGCCTGGCATTGAAGGGTGTTTTCTAGGGGGTAAATGGGATGCTCTGATGTTTAGGTGCCCTGTAGGATCACCTGGCATCCTCTGCTTTCTTGTAGAATGGCTGCAGTTGCGTGTGCTTGCTGGGAATGATGTGGTCCTCTAGAGAGGGAGAGGGATTGCTCCAAGTGGACGGACTGTGGTGCCAAGCTAGCCTGGCGATGCAGATAGACCCAACAAGTTGCAGAAGTGTGGCCTTCTCCGTGGTATCGTACCCACTTGCTACCTCCCTAGAGATGGCAGAATCCCCATGGGCCCCACACAGCCGTGGCTTCTTCTGAGAAATAATGAATTCTTGCTTCCCGGACCTTCCCAATGGGTCCCAGAACATCTCAGCTCCTTTGTTGGGAGTGAGAATTTGGAATACCGTATTCAACACCCACAGTCTGACAAGGCAGAGAAAACTCCCCAGCAACAAAGAGAACCAAATGTCCACTGGGCTGTGAGGACCCACGGAACAGATTTGTTTATTTTATTTCACTACTTAAGTTTCTCCACAGCACCCAGCAGACTGTCTAGTCCACAGAAGGTACTTAATAAATGTTTGTGTAAGAGCTAAGTAACTGATTAGTCTGAAGCATTACCAAAGTCTTCCTGGGACCTAGGGCTGTGGGATCTGCAGGTTAGTTCCTCGGGAGACTGCTTTGCCTTCCCAGCTCAGTCTTTCTGCCCAAAGCACCATGCATGGACCTCAGATAGCTTTCTTCCCAGTGTCATGGAATTATGCAGCGACAGCTGGCCAGGTGACTCACCTTGTAGCAAATGGTGTGCCACCATGGGCCAGGCCAATGGACTGTGTACTATGGTCTCTTCTTAAAGCAACTGACACTTCCTGGCAGTGTTCAGGCATGGCTTCCCTGATGTGCTGTATCTTCTAAAGTCTATCTTCTCAAACTGTGGGTCGTGACACCATTGCTCCAGGGTTGTGTAGCTGATGTGGCAGTCTTGAAATTTTTGGCAACAGTAAACGTTTACTGAAGGCACAAAGACCGAAGCTGAGTTCGAGGCCAGGCACTTGATTGACTGTGAGGCGTTTCTGGAGCCCACACCCATGTTGTATTGAAGGACTTCACTGCACCTTGGCTCTGCATACACACACTTTGCATTGAGCATGTTGTCATATATGCAACGCCAAACAATGCATCTCAAAACACCCCAAGCAGATGGGGAGTGATCATATGTTATGAAGTGCAGTGATCCAGCGGTCCATACAGAGTTTTCTGCTCTTCTAGAAACATAACGGTTTAATTACAGAAAATACTTTCACTGTTTTCCTACTGTCATTCCTGAGTATGCAAAAATTAAATTAGTATATCTTTGTATTGTGTTTGAACGTTTGATTTTTTTTTTTAAATTGCAGCTTCGGTTGTTGACTGGAGCTTCATTCTAAAAAATAAATCATTAAATAAATTTTGACTTGGGAATTAGGTTAAAATTTCTAACAATTTTTTGAGTAGCCCTAGGCATGGTTCTGCCATTTTGTACTATGTATTTATGCCAAGTGGCATTTGTGGCATTGATGAGTATAAAATCAAAATATCGATCAACCCTGAAAACTGTTGACGGTGCTCTACACACTACAGTATCAAATACTCAGCCAAGATTTAATTCTTTAACTAAACAAGTGCATCCATTTCATTAGTATGCAAATTTGCTTCATGTTTAATGAATGCTAAAATTATATGTATAGCAAAGAATTGTTTTAAAATAAAATTCTCTGTGATTTATTAACAGTACATGTTTGATTTGCATAGCTATTTTATGTACCTACGTTATGGGACTTTTCCTGGGGAGAATTGAGCAAATGTCCATTCTCTCCAGTTAGGATACTGACAAACAAAGACACTGTTTCATTCCAGACTAGCTTAGTGAACCAGTATGTTTACTGGGGTTCCCCACAGGAGTGCAAGTGAAGGGTTACTCACAGGAGCATGGAGACTCAAAGACATCATAGCATGGAAGAGCATACCTCAGGCTCAATGAAGACTCAGGAAAGCTGCATCCAGCCTTGTAGGCAACTCCATCAGTAGGTTGTAGGCTCCTCTCCCAGCAATTGTTACTGCTTGTATGACTTTGGGAAGGGAGCCTTGCGAAGTTTCTGGAGCTTTCTGAGACTTCTACTTTCAGACTACTTTAAGGAAGGTTTCAATTTGAAATTAATATCTAGTTAATGACCTATACTCTGAGGATTGTATAAAGTTTCTCAGATGCAGAAGAGCTGTGAGTATAACATGTTTAAGAAGCCCTGCTTTATCTAAATTAGTATTTGATCTGGGGTTCTTCTGCTACTATCAGGTTTATATAGATTTTTAATGGTCCTGAAATCAAGAATTGAAGCATGGATGGTACCACCACTGCTACACTGAGCAGTTCCTGACATGAGGCTTGCTTCTTGTTCCATGGTTTCAGGGTTGTCTAGCTTAGAGGCCTCAGTTCCTAGAGGAAGATTATTGCAGTCAGGACACACCACCTCCATGTCACAGAGATGGGTGTTAGATTGCCACCGGGCCACCTCCGACTCCTCATGTTTCTGAATCAGCAGAGGACACAAGGAGCTGGGGCGACATGCCCTGATCTCTCCTTAGAGGAATGGGAGGGGAGGAAGAGCGTCTCCCAAATACTGCACCTCCCTCAGGGTCTTAGAATCTCTAAGAGAGCATCAAACCCTCTGGGACTGGGGTTATAGACAACTGTTGTGAGCTACCACTTGGATACTGGGAATCAAAGCCGAATCCTCTGGAAGAGCAGTTAGTGCTCTTAAGTGCTGATCTAGCTCTTCAGGCTTTAAGTAAATATATTTTTTAAAAAATATATTTACTCTTTTTATTTTATTCATGTGAGTTTTCTTCTTCTTCTTCTTCTTCTTCTTCTTCTTCTTCTTCTTCTTCTCCTCCTCCTCCTCCTCCTCCTCCACCACCACCACCACCATCTCCTCTTCCTCATCCACCACTACCACCTCTTCCCCTTCTCCTCCCCCCCTCCTCCTCACCTACCATGCCCACCTCCTCCCCCTCCCCCTCCCTCCTCCTCCTCCCCCCTCCTCCTTTTTTGCTTGCATGTATCGTATGTGCACCACCTGTGTGTGATACCACAGAAACCTGATGAGGAAATTGGATCCTGTGGAACTGGAGCCTCCATGTGGCTCACAGAACTAAACCTGGGTCCTCTGCAAGAGCAGTAAATGCTTTTAACCACTAAGGTGTCTCTCCAGCAACATAGGTAAGCAACGTTGTTTGCTTTTCTCATATCTCCTTATCATTTCATATAAGATGCATTGCTAAAAGTCACATTTCATGGCATCTAAAGAGAAGAGTGACAGCCACTCTTCCCACTTCCCCTGCTACTTTGGAATGGATTAGGAGACCTGCAGTTGTACACAGGACAGTCATGTCATGGGAGATGAAAATACAACTTTATTAGCATCTTGACTTGGAAGTGGATGTGATTTCCGGAGATGTGTTCGAACATCAAGTTTCAGGTGGTGCTCAGTTCATGTGTCAGCTTGGCTCAGCTGCCAGCCACAGCTACCCTAGGTGCTGCTGTGCAGGGGTTCTGGAGCTGTGTTCAAGTCTGTAACCAGTTAGCTTCCAATAGGATTGCTCTAGCAAGTCAGGGTAAGACTGGTTTAAACAGGCTAAGGGCTTCAGGAGCATAGTTGAAGCCTTTCACAGGTTGGGAAATCTACCTGTGGATTCTAGTTTTTACCTGCACCTGGAACCTCCAGCCTGAAACCTTCCCGATGGCCGCTCTTCGGATGGGACCTTTCTCTAGCCAGACCTTGGAGCTGCATTGCCCACTTCTTTGCAATGAATTTATCTTTATCTCCTGATGATTAGGGTTTTCTGGATCTGGAGGCACCCCAACTGGTGCACAATCTGTGGAGGCCAGCCAGTGGAAGCCTGGGGAAGGGCATGGTAGACTATGGATATATTATGGGATGGGCACAGACCAAAGAGTAGAGACAAGTGAAGAAGCTTATTCCATCCAACTAAGTCATGGCAGTGAAACCCTTGAGGTAGCTGGACTGAGTAATGTCATGGTTTCAGAATGCAGTGCCAGACTGAGGGTCATGGCTCAATGCTGTGGGTATTGAAGCCACTGAAGGCCTGTTCAATGGCACAGACTAAGAACAAGCTAGACTTCAGAAAGATGCCTCGGGCTCTCTGGCTACAATGGGCTAGATCCAGTGAGGGCTGAATGCTATATAAGACCCTTTCATTGGTTCTGCTCATGAAGGAGAGTTAAATGTCTGTGCTGGAGTTTAGCTGAAACCCACTGTCAGGAAGTAATTTGAGTTTCTCTGAGGAGATGAGCAGAGGTAAATGTGTAGGAGTGATGGCAGCTCACTGAGCCAGAATGGAGACAGACAGAGGGGGGCGGACTTTACCACTTCACCTGGCAGATTGGATCCCGGCCCTCAGTTTTTCACAACCTCGCTGCACGAGAACGTGCTGTTCTATCATGAGCCAAGGGCAGCTCTTCCTTCTCAAGGGCGTTTCCCAGGCCCATTTGCTCTGGGGTCTCTCTTTGGCCAATGGAACAGAGGTGGAAGTGAAGACTGGCTGTTTCAGCTGAGGCTTCCAAAGGCACCACACTACTACTCAAAAGCTTCACTCAGGAAACTGTTGCTCTTGAGCTTGGCCTAGATCAAATACACATTGAGCCACAGGGAATCTAAGCTCAGCCTGGAGTCAAGATCACCCACTTCACATTCCCAAAGCTGTGGATCCGTGAGCATAAGATCCCATCCTTGCAGTTGAGAGTTGTTATCACTGGCAACTGGTTAGGCGTTACATGACATTGCGTTGGTAATTGCTGCTTAATACACTCAGTCCATCCCAGTAAGAGAGCAGAGTTGACTCCACCAATGTGGTGTACTCAGCCAACACTCAGACTGCTTCAAATGACTCAAGAACTCATGGATATAGAGGAAGAATCTACGCAGATATGGATCAGAGCTGGGTGTGGGGTTTGAGTATCTGAGAAGAAGTGGGAAGAATGCCCTACAGGAAGCGGTGAGAGTCCCATTCCAGGTCTGGAGTGGTAGTGATTCTCTGCATGGTTTGTGTCTGATCACGTTGCTTCGCAGAGTCTCAGTTTCCTAGTCCACGAATCACCAGGGTCATTGGTGGGACACACCTCTGGGATGAATTCCTTCCCAGGTGCAAACAGAAACTCTCATTTGTTGTGTGATTATTTTAGACGCTATGGTAAATCTAAGTCAAATGCCTTTCCAATAGTAGATAAAAATGTGTGGATTTCCTTTTGGACTCTCAAACACTTGAGTGGCTGTCCAGAGCTGCCTGGAGAAAAAGCCTAAGGCTATAATGCATCTGTATTCAAGCTTGGTCGGATGGGTCCCATGGTTGATCCTCTTCTCTGGGAGATGAGATGGAAACTCTGTGGTCTGTCCCCCACCTCTGCCACGGTGACTTCCCCCCATTGGGAAAGGTTTGTGCAGTGCTATGCCACAGTGATGCTTGAGTCTTTCTCTCTGGGCTGGGGTGCTGGTCCTCAGCTGCAGATCCTCTGACTTGTACTTGCACATACAGTGGGAGTGGTTCCCTTGGGCTTTTCAGAAGACACATGGGAAACAGGCTGTGTGTCTTATGCCTTGATGTCCCCGTGGGATACCACTAAGCACTGGCAACCACAAGGGAGATGGGTGAGTACCTACAGGTCTCTCCAGGGCCTCGAGAGAATGGTGCAGCTCTGTCCCCAGGAGACAGTTGGTCCCAGCCTGAAGTTCCTTGTGGGGTCTTGGGAGGATTGCAAACCTTCTTAAAATATCATTGTCTCTTGTCTCTAAATTGTGTGACTCAAGTGGGCTTAGACTCCAGGGTTCCTCGGGGCTCCAAAATGCTCAGCTTTTGTAGAAAAGAACCAAGGATAGGAGATTTAGTAGTTTTAGTGTAGGGGACGGTACTAAATAGAATCGCAGGAAACCTAAACCGAACTGGCTTCTGAGGGGAAAGCATTTTGGCTCGCCGCCTGTCTGTTTCAGGCTGTGCTAACCACATCAACAATACATCAGAGGCTGAATATCCTGTAAACAAAGGCTATGTAGCTCAGTGTTTTAGAGGCTGAAATCCAAGAGTGGGTGAACAAATTTTTTGTCTGGTGACAGTCTCATGCCTGGTAGCATCAGGATGGTGGGTGGCAGCACAGTGGTAGAGCAGATACAGCAGGAGTCACATAGTGAGAAGAAAGCTGAGGACTCAGACCAGGAGCACAAGCGCGTGCGCTCGTGTGTGTGTGTGTGTGTGTGTGTGTGTGTGTGTGTGTGTGTGTGTGAGAGAGAGAGAGAGAGAGAGAGAGAGAATGTGTGTGTAAGTGTGTGAGAGAGTATGTGTAAGTGTATGCGAATGTATATATGTGTGTGAGTGTATATATATGTGTTAGTGTGTATGTGTGTGTGTTGCCTTTGTGTGCATGTGTGTCTTAGGTGCATATATACATGTATGCACATGTGTCCAGGCCAGAGATCAACATCAGTGTCTTCCTCAATTATTTTCCACCTTGTCTGGAGGTTTCAAATCTAGCCAGGCTGGCTGACCAATGAGCTCCATGGATTCACCTGTCTCTGCCTCCCAGTCCCTAGTGCTGGGGTAATAAATGTACATCACCACACTTAGCTTTAACACGGATCCTGGATCTGAACTTGGGTCCTCAGACTTGCATGCCAAGCACTTTACCAACTGAGCCGTTTCCCCAGCTGTGGGTTCACGGTTTTAATAACAACCTTCTATTGTAGGAACCAACCCTTCCAAGAGCAGCACCCTCCAAGCACCTCCCTACTTCTCACTAGGTCCCACCTCTTCAAGGTTCTCCTCCCTCTCAACACCACTGCACTGGGGACCAAGATTCCAGCACAAGGGTCTCTAGAGGGAAAGCCACACCCAAACCACAGCACATGTAACTAGGAGGCATAGGATAGGGTCATATGTTCAGCTGGATCCAGGGCTCCAAAACCTTCCCAAATAATGGTTCTACTAGGACAGATGTCCCATCCCAGCCCTTAAGACCAAGAGATCAGCAAGAAAAGACCCTTCCATCTTCCTTCTATTGCTTTTAGTGGGGGGAGGTTCGAGACAGGGTTTCTCTGTGTAGCTTTGGAGCTCACTCTGTAGCCCAGGCTGGCCTCAAACTCACAGAGATCAGTCTGGCTCTGCTTCCTGAGTGCTGGGATTAAAGGCGTGCGCCACCACCGCCTGGCTCATCTCCTTTCTATTTCTCATCTCGCAGAGCTGCCAGGCTGTATTACATTGGCTTATGTCCTCTCTCTGTTTTCAATAGGCACCACACCATGGCCAGGAGGGAGGCCCAGTCCTAGGTCAAGGTTGAGATCACTTCTAAATACACCAACCAATAAGGAAGCTGTGAAATGAAGGAAAAATAGGTGCTGCGAAGACAACCACAGCTGTGCATACTGGCAGAGAGGTCTTTGGGCTGATCATCTGGGACCAGGCCTGGTCAGGAGACACCCATGAGGCTAAGCAAACCAACAAACAGAAAAACAGGCAGCCCATGGCTAGCTGGTCCATGTGTGAGTGGGTGGCACCCATGGGCTCAGTTGGGTGCTAGACAACTTACAGAGAAATAATGTTGAAAGTGTCACAAAGCAAGGCTGGACAAGGATGACTTAGGTAAAGAGCACTTGCTATTCTTGCAGAGGACCTGGGTTCAGTTCTCATCACCTACACGGTGGTTCACAACCATCTGTAACTCCAATGCCAGGAGATTTGGTCACCTCTTCTGGCCTCCTTAGTTTCCAGTCATATTGTATAGACAGCAACACAAGCAAACACTTACACACATAAAATAAATAAATAAATCTAAAAAGGAAAAAAAAAAGTGGCACACAGTGGAACTCCAGTTCTTGGGACATGCAGTGGTGTTGGGGAGCTAAAATGAAGCCAGAAAATGGAGCCAATTGCCTTGTTTTTGCCATGTGATTCCCACTACGCTCTCAGCAGTAAAGGAGCCAGGGGATTATAGTGTCCTGAACAGTAAGGACAAGGGGGCTCATGGAGAAACTGCTTGAACAAACCCAGGGAGAAAGGCAGGTGTTCTGGCGTGGGGCTGGATGATGTTGGCGGTTGTCAGGGTGACTCACAGAGGGAACATCCCGGGGACAGCAAGGAGCTGGCTGAGCAGAGAGAGAATGCTGAGGAATGCAGGCTCCAGGTGAAAGATGATCCCCTCCAAAGCTCAGGGGACATTAGGAAAGGAGGGGAAGGGAGAATGCAGGAGCCAGAGGAAGTGAGGGAGAGTGTGGAACACTGATGTTAGGCATGACATGGTTGTTGCAGCCCTGAAATCACTGCAGCTGTGTTTACCTGCACACAACTTGTAGAAGACATCATCATTCCAAGATGGAAGAGAAGCGGCTCATGAGGTCTGGTCTCTGCTCAAAGGCATACAGTTCGAGGGCAGAAGTAGCTAGAGGAAGGAGGAAGGGACATTTTCTTCAGTGATGCAGCAGTTGTCCATGCTCCTGTAAATAACCTCTTCCTGGAAGTAACCCTCAATAAACTGGGTCGCACATACATTAAGAAAGTCATGGCCGGGCGGTGGTGGCGAATGCCTTTAATCCCAGCACTCGGGAGGCAGAGGCAGGCGGATCTCTGTGAGTTCGAGGCCAGCCTGGGCTACCAAGTGAGTTCCAGGAAAGGCGCAAAGCTACACAGAGAAACCCTGTCTCGAAAAACAAAAAAAAAAAAAAAAAAAAAAAAAAAAAAAAAAAAAAAAAAAGAAAGAAAGAAAGTCATGAATGGAGAAATCAGTGGATACTATCAAACACTTTATAGGCTTGTGTGAAAATGTAATGAAACCTGAAGCATGAATCTTAAAGGGTCTTATTAATAAAATCGAACCTGAGGCCAGTTATTGGGGTGAACGCTGGAAGATCAGAGAAGCAGAACAAGCCACAGCTACCTCACCTCACCAGTTCCTTGGCTGATCCTGTTTCCTCAGACTGGAAGCCTCTGAGTCCTCATACAAATGAATCTCAACTGAACTGCTGCTCAAAAGCCTGAAAGCTTAACCAGCCAAAAGCTTCTAGTTTCTGGTCCTCACGCCTTATATATCTTTGTGCTTTCTGCCATCACTCCCTGGGATTAAAGGCTTGCTTTCTGGGATTAAAGGCGTGAGTCACCATGCTTGACTGTATCCTTGAGCACACAGAGATCCAGGTAGATCTCTGCCTCTGGAATGCTAGGATTAAAGGCGTGTGCTACCACTGCCTATCCTCTATGTTTAATATTGCAGCTGTTCTGTTCTCTGACCCCAGATAAGTTTATTAGCATGCACAATATTTCAGGGAACACAATACCACCACAGAAACTTATTACTATGTATAATTAATATACACTAATAATTTTTAAAAAAGAGATCAGGGAGTCATGGAAGGCTTTGAAGGAGGGGTGAGATGTGTCACTGAGATTATTCTTGTTTCCATCTCTGGAAACAAGTGTCTTGGCATAGTGGTTGACATTCTTAAGGACTAGAGAATGCCCATATCAAAGGTGCCCATGCCAAAAGTATCTATAGGAATACACAATGCTATACACTATGTGTGAACTAAACATGGTGGGAAGTATGTTCAGATAATATAGGTACACACATACACAAATTCATGCACACACACACACACACACACACACACACACACATTATATACCTGCTACAATGCAGTGAGAGCAAGAATGTTCTGAGCACTCCCAGCATACACTTCTGAGCATTCCTGGTTAATTAGTCCTTGTCCTGTAATAACGCTCCCCTCTCATGGCTCAAGGACTAAGTTAACAAGGCATAAGCAAGCGGCAGAGGCAGGCAGGACACTAGCCGCTGGTTAATGTGTTAACTCTGAGTATGGCTCAGTGGATGAGTGAGCGGCAACACTGTTTCCTTTTTCTTTTTTTCTACATATCCGTCCTTTGCAAATCATCTATGATGAATATATGTTACCTTTGTCAGGGAGGAGCAAATAGATACCCTTTAAAATTTCCTCTAATCTCTGTGCTGATGGACCAGAGAAGTGACTCCCCGCTTACTACCTGCATCAGTCAGGGCAGGGAAAACAGAGCCTGCCAGAAGCTGGGAGACATCACTCCAGAGTGTAGAATTACAAACATTGTCACAGCACCCAGGTCCCATTTTGCAATTTCCTCCCATTTTAAAATTAATTTTAATTACATAAATAAAGTTAAGATACTTGCTTCTTAAAGAAAAACACGTAACTAACATGAAACTCTCAGCAGACTACCACCCCTCCCATCGAGTGGTCACGTGAGACAAGGACAGGATCGGCCCAATGAGTGCTTTTTGACCCCAGCTTCTTCTTTTTTTAGCTTATTATTTTACATGTATGTGTGTGTATGTATGTAAGTGTATATATGTTCACCATCTTCTTGTAGGCGCCCTCAGAGGTCAGAAGAGGACATTGGATCCCCTGAAACTGGAGTCAGAAGTGGTTATGAACGCCCAGTATGGGTGCTGAGAACCAAACCCTGGTCTTCCTGAAGATCACCAAGTGTTCTTAACTGCTGAGCCATCTGTCCAGCCAGTGACCCCAGTTTCTGAAGCTTGGTTTAAACCTTGGGTGGAGCCTGGACAGGAATGTAGGGTTGAGAAAAATGAGGAGACTGTAGAGGCTTCTGAATACTCAATGACCAAATGGTAATTCAGAAGCAGTTACCAAATGAATCCAGGTGGTTCTGGACATCCTCCCCTGTTCTACTGAAAGATGCTGCAGCTTCGGTTGGGATACACCACACATGTATTCTACACTGCCCACGCTGTCACACCAAGCCCTGCCAAGAACTGCTGTCTGCGACCCTGGGATCAGCTTCCAGACTACTGTATGGTATGAAGTGCAGTGTTTTGACTGTACATACCAAGTGCCCTGTCCTTATAGAAACAGAGTGGCTTAATTACAGAAAACAAAGACTACCAACTTCCTCCCATCGTTCCTCAGTATGTATAGAAATTAGCATATCTCTGAATTGCATTGTGTTCAAATGTTTGACTTTAAAAAATTGCTGTACCGGTTGCTGACTTGACTGTCATAAAAAAAATTAAATAAATTAAAAAAAATCACTCAATAAATTTTTGCTTGAGATTAGGAAAGAATTTTCCAACAGTTTCTGCAATGGCCCTAGGCATGCTTCTGCCATTTGGTGCTCTGTATTTAAGCAAAGAGTCATTGTGGGTGTAGACAATTACAAAATGAAAGTACCAGTCAAGAGCTGGGAGGGTGGAGGATGGCTTGGAGAGCAAAGTTGCCTCAAGCAGGGTGACCTGAGCTGGATCCATGGGATTCACTGATTGCTGGACCCTGTCTGCTTCTACGGGACATGGAGCCGATTCAGTGCTTTTGACAACCAGTGCGTCAAGACCCCACAGCAGACTGCTGGTATACTTGTGGCTCTGCGGCTGTAGCCACTTCAAAAGAAACAAAACCCCTGGAGGAAGGAAGTGGTGTGCGTGTGCGTGTGCGTGTGCGTGTGCGTGTGCGTGTGTGTGTGTGTGTGTGTGTGTGTGTGTGCCCTGCAGTAACGGAGGGAAACATTTTAACAAGTTAAGTATTAGCAGAAACAGACCTCCAGCAAAGAATTTGGAACTTTTAAGCAACCCACCTTTGTTAGAGCCCTAGTCCTCCTCTTTTGCTACCAGGCTTGACCTCTCTTCTCTGATGAGTCCTATTCTTCACCTAATTTCCATGACCACATTCAGCCAATCAGGGCTCAACTAGGCCTGGCTGGCACCAAGAGGCACCCATGAACCTAGGCTTGAAAGTGCAAGGTGCAGTAGAATTTGATAGAGAAGAATGCCTTAGAATCCACTTCAAGACAAAGGCTGAGACAGAGAGGCTTGTGGGAGATAGACTCACTGCAGATAGAGGACCCCGTTCTGAGAGCTGACTCGAGCTAGTCTCCAGGACTTCAAAGGCAGACCAAGGGAACCCATTCCTGCCAACACCTTTGTTCCTGTCCCTTTCTGTTGCTGTGATAAAACACCATGCCCAAGGCAACATACAGAAGAAGAGTTTATTGGGGCTTATGGTCCCAGGGGCATAAGAGTCTGTCTTCAAGGGAGCATGGCAACAAGTAGCAGGAGCAGCAGCAGCAGGAGCAGGAAGCTGAGAGAGCACTTCCTCAACCACAAGCATGAAGCACGGGATGCACCGGAAGTGGATCCTCCAGTAGCACATTACCTCCTACAAAGCTGTACTTTCTGAACCGCTCCCAAACAGCACCACCAGCTGGTGCTCAACTGTTCAAGCATCTGATCCTTTGGGGGACACTCTCATTTAATCCACTACAGCCTATTGATTCCAGGCTTCTGTTGCCAAGGGGATTCCTTCCTTTGGCAGTTTTCAGCCTACAGGCGTCAAGAGCACCCATCACTTCAGAGACCCGTTGCTTGGGAAGTATGTAAGAGTTGCGGCACTTCTCAGACCTGCAGGTTTGCTCTGCAAGAGACAGCACTTGATTGGCACCATGAGGCCCCCAAGAGCGTTGAGCCATAATATTTCTCAGAGCTGCATCAGCTCTCAGCTAGCATCCTGCTGCTACCAAGAGTTCAAGCCTGTTTTAACCAAATCCCACATGGCAATCTGTTTTAAGTTTATTTTATTTTTTCATCTCTTTTAAGGTTGCTAATCCCAATTTGACAATAAAGCACCTCCCATTTATATTCTTCCCTGTGTGTTCGTTCCATTCTTGGAGAAGGGTAAGACAAGAACCCAACTGGGGACAGGAGACAGTCTCCAGTGACAGCCTTTCTCTGACTTCTCCATTTGTGTATGGCACAGAGACACCCCCTCACCACACATATGTGCATGTGCGTGCACACACACACAAACACAAAATAAATAAATAACAATAATAAAAATATGTCAATTAAGTCTAAAAATGTTGAATATTTAGCTATGATTTAATTCCTTATGTAAAACTAAACAAACACATCTATCTCATTAGTATGCAAATTTGCTTTCATCTTTAATAAAGGGTAAAATTGTGTGCATACCAAGGAATTGTGTTAAGAATTTCTTTATGATTTATTACCCTGTGTTTGATTTGTATACCTATTTTACATATGTAACTGGGGTTGTATAGAATGGTCTTGGATATAAAGGGTTTGAGAGTAGAAAGCATTTAAGCAGCCCTGTTCTAGACCTTTCTCTGTGGATTTGCATATGTAAATGTAGATTCAGCACATATGGTGTGATTGCACATGCACCCAGTGAACTTGTCTTCTCTTTTACAGAGTTATGGTAGCTGCTTCTTTGTTCCTGCGACTAAACACAGACTAAAGCAATGGATGAAGTGAAGGGTTTGTTTTGGTTCGCAGGTCTCCAGGAGGCCCATCCTGGTGGGAAAGGCGTGGTGTCAGGAACACGAGGCTGCTGGCCACATTATGTCCACAGTCAGGAAGCAGAGCAAGATGAGTCTGGGGCTCGGCTTCCTTTTTCCTTTTCCTTCGGCCCAGGACTCCAGCCCATGGGATGCTGCTGCTCACAGTTAAGATGAGTCTTCTAACCCCAGTCAACCTGATGCAGATCATCCCTCACAGGCATGCCCAGACCCTTGTCTTCTAGGTGACCTAGATCTTGTCAAGCCTCACCTGGTCTGCAGCATAGAGCTGAAATACGAGACACCACACAGGCACCATATAGAGTCTGGCTGGAGGGAGAAGGCTCACACCGAGGCTCACTGTCAGCTTCGTGTCTGCCGCTGGTGAGTTGTCATCCTCATTGACGGGGTGACAGTGAGCTGAAATGGGAGTTACAAACCCCTTGTGAAGAACACAGTGCCCTCATTTCTCCCCACAAGCTAGAAGCCTTGAGTAGAAGACCTGGCCTGGAACTGTAGACATGGAGCTGAGGGCCAGGCCTTCAGCCCAGGGTGTCAGGGAGTGAAAGCTGAGATGGGGGGGGCAGTCTTCAGATTGAGCCTTTCCCAAAAGGATGTGATATAACCATGTCAAAGACACGAACATGGTGTGGACAAGAACAGTAATAAGGATGAGGAGGTGGGACACTATTCACAGCTTTAGGGATAGTCATCATTCCGTCATGACTCTTCCCTGAACCAGGGAACAGGGGAAGGGGTTCCAAGAAATAGACATTAGACTTCTCTTGTGTTGGGTAAGGGAGGCTGCTGCTGGATTCTGTTATAGATTAAAATACAGTTGATTTGTGTTTGCAAAACACGGTCATGTACACACTTCCTTTTGTGTTTTCTGGTAGAGTCTGGAACAGCCAAGGGATGACTGTGAACTGGTTGCTCACTCACTTTGGAGGGTCATGCACAGAAAAGTCCGTACCCTTCACAAGGATGTCCTTAAATGGGGACTTCTCAAGGGGACCTGGGCCAATGCAGGGGGCCCGGAGGGTATTCTAGAGCAACTTCCAGCTGAGAAAGACAAGGGGCAGCCAAGCAGACCGCATTTAAAGAGTTCTACTGAGGTGCAGGCCCTTCCTTAGACGACCCCACCTTGGGGTCATTTGGCCCTTTGACTGTGCCTCCCTGGCCTCACCGCGTCCGATGTGACAGACAAGCAGGAACTATGGATGCACAGATGTGTCCCGCCCAAGGTTCGGTCTGTCTCTGTCTGCTCACAGCTGAGTGGCTCTGCAGCAGCCTGTTTCTTGGTTCTCTGTCCCATGTGACATCTCAGCCCCATATCTGGGGTCTTTCATGGAACACAGGTCTGCTTGAGCCTTTGGAAGCACCTGTTGCTGTCTCAGGCCTGTCCTCCTCACCCCTGCGTGTTGATAGGACAGCTTCAGGAGATGACAGAAGCTTCTGGAAAGAAGGAAATCCTTGTCTCTGAACAGCCATTTTCCTTGCTAATCCACCCCCCACCCCCCCACCCCCCCACCCCCGCCCTGGGTTTGGGGTTGGACATAGTTATTTATTGTGAGATGGAGCTGAGAGCTGGTGCCTGGCGGGATCACTTAGGGTGATTTTGTTTGTTTGTGCGGCTCATACTGTTACTGAGCAATGGGTCCTTGAGGACCAGCTGAGTGTTCACAGGGGCCCATTGTCACTTGAGGTGATATGCATCATTCAAATGCCTCTCGTGGGCCTCGCTGCACTAAATTTCTGGAGTGGTGACTTACACCCAGGCACCTCAATGTTTGCCCAGCTGGGGAGGATGAGAACGCTGGCAGAGGAGGCAGGAAACCAGTCACTGTGAAGAGCCCTTGGAAAGATAGCTGGGAAGGTCCTTTCAGGAGCTGGGTTCTTTTCATCCCCACGTTCTTGTTAGAGATAGCTGCCTTTCTGAATCCTTTCCTCACCTCCCACAACACAGAATGGCTGCCCCATTCTGGCTTCCCAGCTCTCTCTCTCTCTCTCTCTCTCTCTCTCTCTCTCTCTCTCTCTCTCTCTCTCTCTCTCCCTTGCTCACTCTTCTTTATGTACCATCTTTCTCCCTAGGACCCGTATGCTTACATCTGATTCATCTCTACTGCAAGGTACCAAGCATATGGCAAGGTCTATGGTAGTAGAAGACAATAAATTTAAAAAGAAATAATTGCATGTGTGTGTGTGTTATATGTATGTATGTATGTATGCTCATGAGTGTATGCATGTGTTGCATGAGGAGGGCTGACTCCAGTTTGTGCATGAGGATGGGCATGCAGATATGTAAGCATGCACCTGGGTGCCAGAGGTTGAAGCTGAGCATCTTCCTCAGTCATTTGCCCCCTTAGCTTTTGAGCTAGGGTCTCTATTTGTGAAGGTGGAGCTCATCAATTCAGCAAAGCTGAATTGAAGTGACCCCCTGACCTAACAGTCTTAGGGACCTCACCCTTGAAGTCCAAAAGCCTCACCTAGAGGCTAGAAAAGTCTTCCATTTTGTTCTAAATCTGAAACATTAAAACAACAACAACAACAACAACAACAACAAACCATCTCCTGGAGACGAAGCTTCCCAGGTTGGTGGGAATGGCTCAGTGCTTGTTTTGCAAGCTTGAAATGACGAGTTGGATCCAGAGTTCGTGTAAAACACTTGATGTGGTGGTGTGCTCTTGTAATCCCATGATGGCCAGAGAGGTGGGAATGGGCAGATCCCTGGAAGCCCATTGGCCAGCTAACCTAACCTACTTGTTAGTGTTCCAGGCCAATGAGAAGCCTTGTCTCAAAAAGTGTCAAGTGCTTAGAAAATGACAAGGGAAGTTGTCCTCTGACCTCTGCTTTTGCTTGTTGCTACACACACACACACACACACACACACACACACACACACACCATACACATACACACACACACACACACACACACACACACACACACACACACACACCAATCCCAAACAACATTCCAAGGCTTGAATTTCTTCCTTGGTGAGGCTGGAACCAGGGCAGAAAATGCCTCTGGCATGCCATGTCACAGCTGTAGCCACTGACCCTGAAAGGGACAGCAGGGATGCTTTCTAATCAATGCTCTCTTCACATCAAAGTCCATCAGAGACCAGTTCAAATGCCGAATAAGACTTTGGACAGTGGCTCATGGGGAAACAGCCTGGGACTCACTTTATTTACCCAGGGATCCCAGCTCAACACGCCACAGAGGAAGCCTTCCCAAGGGCAGCTGCCCTCAGTGGAATGAGCAGAAGAGCCTGGGCTTAGCACTCTAGAACATCGCAGTTGTGCTGACAGGCCTCTTGTCTTAAACCCGAGTGAGTGAGTCCCAGAGACAAAGCAGAGGTGGGAGCCCTGAGGGTGTCTGGCTATGCTACAGATTGAACCTGTAGCTGCCTTCAGTGAGCTTAGCTCCTCAGAGGAGAGAGTCTGCCACATGCTCCGAGTTGGTGGGATGCGACATAGATGGAACAGACGCAATCCTGCAGTTCTAGAACTCACCATACAGACATGAGCAGAGTGGTGAGGTTGGGGTGTTCTCTAGTCCTCTTCCCCACACCCATGAAGATTGTGGTGGAAACCAGGAAGTTAGAATGTGTTTATCATAAACCCCACTTGTGGTTCTGCTTCTTTGTTGTTGTTGCTGGACTAAGCTAAAAGAGAAATGTGTGACCATGTTTAGAACTTGGTCTCAATGCAAACCCTTGTCAACAGCCTAAAGCTTCAGGGGGCCATGGGGGGCAATGGGGAGCTATGGGGGCCATGGGGGCCCATGGGGGCCCATGGGTGCTGAGGTGGGGAAAGGCCAAGGCAGGCTAGGGGCAGGATCCTGGAAGGTGTAGCCAAGGCCTAGGGAAAGGGGGTCAGAGGCAGTGCAAGAGGAATGTGGGAGTGAGCGAGGCTTAGCTTCCCTGTAGCTTTCATAGGCCTAGTTCCCAGATGTCACTGTCTGACAGAGAGAAGCTCCATGGACAGAAGCTGAGGTTAGTGTGCTAGGCTTCAACGCAGTGGTTCTTAACCCATGGGTCACCATCCCTTTGGGTTGTTTGACCCTTTTACTGGGGGTCACATATCAGATATCTTGCATTTCAGATATTTATATTACAATTCATAACAACAGCAAAATTACAGTTATGAAGTAAGAACAAAATAATTTTATGTCTGGGGGTCCCCACACCCTGAGGTACTGTATTAAAGGGTCATGGCTTTAGGAAGGTTGAGAGCCACTGATTTAGTGCATGACAAAGAGGACGAACATCAGGAAACCCGTGTCTCTGCCATAACTAGTTCATCCTGGGGTCTCAGGCAGCTCTCTTCCTTTTTCCAGACTCAGTTTCCCTGTCTCTTATGAGCTATTTTACTAGTGGCCTGTAGGAGTTTGCCTCTGGTTACTGTCCTGGTGAGGGGGGAGGGTAGAGAGGAAGCCAACTGTAGGGGTGGTGAGGGGGAGGGTAGAGGGGAAGTCAACTTCAACTGTAGATGTGGTGAGGGGGAGGGTAGGGGAAGTCAACTGTAGGGTGGTGAGGGGGGAGGGTAGGGGAAGTCAACTGTAGGGGTGGTGAGGGGGAGGGTGGGGGAAGCCAACTGTAGGGTTGGTGAGGAGGGAAGGTAGAGGGGAAGCCAACTGTAGGGGTGGTGAAGGGTGAGGATAGAGGGGAAGCCAACTGTAGATGTGGTGAGGGGGAGGGTAGAGGGGAAGCCAACTGTAGGGGTGGTGAAGGGGGAGGATAGAGGGGAAGTCAACTGTAGGGTGGTGAGGGGGGAGGGTAGGGGAAGTCAACTCTAGGGGTGGTGAGGGGGAGGATAGGGGAAGTCAACTGTAGGGGTGGTGAAGGGGGAGGGTAGAGGGGAAGTCAACTGTAGGGGTGGTGAGGGGGAGGGTGGGGGAAGTCAACTGTAGGAATGGTGAGGAGGGAGGGTAGAGGGGAAGTCAACTGTAGGGGAGGGCACAGTGATCCTCTCTGACCTAGCTCCTCTAGCAGCTGATGGGGAGGGCTTCTGAATGTGTCCTATTACCCATGTCCCCACGTCCCTGCAGAGCCCCGAATTTACACAGAGCTGTAAATGCTGGGTCTGGACAGCTGGACAGAACTGTGGGGAGCAGGCTAGCAGGCAGGGCCTCACACTGATGAGGGGCTCAGGCAAAGATGGCCATTCCCTGTTAACAACCTCTGCTCCAAGCTCCCAGAGGGAGACCCCGAGCCTGGCTAATGACCTGTGTAGTAAGGTTCTCTACTTATTCTCTGCTCCCCTGGGTACATCAGCCCCCTCCAGGGACCCCTGTCTCCTGAGCAGGGTAATCTCACAGTCTCCAGCCCAGAAACCAGCTGTGGTCTCCCTGTACTCAGTCTGCGGGATGGGTGGCGCGGAGTCTGTGGGGCTGAAGGATGC